AAGGAAGAGTAGCCCCCGCTTGCTGCAACTAGAGAAAGCCTGAGTGCAGCAACGAAGACCCAACGCAGCCAAAAATAAGTAAATAAATTTATAAAAAAAAACAAAACAAAACAAAAAACAAAGAAAAACACTAATAATTTTAAGAACCTCTGAATCGTGATACGTCTTCTCCCGAAAAATTAAGGATTTCAGTTTAACAGAGTAGGAGAGTATGGTAGAAAGAACCTGGGACAGGGGCAAGAAACCGAGATTTTAGTCCCAGGTGGCCTACCATCCAGATGTGTGAACCTGGCAATGCCTCTTGGGCCGTTTGCTTGTAAAGGTGTGAGTGGGGAACATGGAGGTGGGGGTGTGGAGGCTACTGAAATAGATCCCTGTGGAGTGCTCTGAACTGTTCCATGAGCTCTCACACGGGCTGGAGGGGACTGTGGGTCCCCATTCTCCCCACCCCCTGCCTCCCTTCAAAAGGAGCAGCTCTGTTTACCTTTGTTTTTGGTAATCACTTTTACACTGGGATTTACATAAGACTTTTTCTGAACAAAGAGCAGAGTTCAACAGCTTAAAAACTGATATATATATATATATATATAAAATCACTGTACTAGATAACCTCTACAGTCATTTTTAACTTCAACATTTTGAGTTAGAGGCTTTTTTTTTTAACCAAGACAGAAAATAAGCCTTTAACAAGAGTAAATCAATTTTTTGGGGGGGCCACACCCCGTGGCTTGTGGACCAGGGATTGAACCCAGGCCCTCGGCAGTGAGAGTGCAGAGCCCAACCAATGGACTGCCAGGGAATTCCCAGAGTAAATCATTTTAAACTGAGGAACAAACCAGGGTAAAAGCTTTTCTTGCTGACGAACGCAAACCAGAGTCAGCGGTGGGTCACCACCTTTAACTTGGGCACAAACCCAGCACTAATGTCCAGCTGGGATCTAGTTAAAGAATCAAACGTAATATTTCACTTTTCTGCCTTTTGTGTTATTACCTAAATGTGATACTTAATTGAAAATACTAAGAAAACTCCGTTCAAAGGATTAAGAAAAACCTAACTTTATTAGCTTTAAAAACAAAACTGTTACAACGAATCACAAAGACTCCCCCCCAAATTACATTCTGCTTTTATCACCTTGATAGGATGAGGAATGTTTAAATGTCCTCAAAATACAGAAGAGCCAAAGTTAACAAATAACAAAGCACTACAAACTACGAATTGCCACTTCAAACACACTAAAATGTGGAATACACACATGTGAATTACTGACCAGCTTCTTGAAGTACAATAATATTCACTACAGTCGATAGTACCAGAAAGGTGATGTGCCCCAAAACGTAACACAAGATCACACATGTGTTCAGGTAAAATAACAAATTCAACTCCTGGGTTCAGTTAACAGAAGAGTGAAATGGTGGAGAAACGTTTCTTCAACTTGGAGGATACGCACAATACAGCACGAATGAAATCACGGGCGCCCCGACTTGGGCTGAGAAAGCAGTGGGAAGAGTATGGTACAATAACAGGATTAGCCACCTTCATCTCTCCTCAGTCCCTAATATGAGTTAGGAAGATTGGGGACTACGCAGAAAACAATACAGAAAAACACACATTAGCTGCATAGATATAAATCTTCCCTTACGGCAAGAATGGACATTCAGTCAAGGCTACGCTTTGTTCTAAGCGCCTGCAGAACGTGGTTTTGTTTCAAAAGGAAATGCAGGTTTACAAGATGGACCACATGGCTGATTTAGTAAAAGGCCTTTAAACTTTTTGTTTAAATGGACAGAGACACTTTGACTCAGTCCAAGGTTAGTTCTTAACCCTAGCTGGAAACTTCTACTTTGAACTTGACCATTTTTATAATTTTTTTGGTCAGTGAACCTAGGAGTCGTTGCAAATTTCAGTGGCTTTGTTGCTTGTATATTTGGTAATAATAATAACACTCTACAAATTTTTACAATTTCCCCCGATTCATGATTTTTTTTGTATTTTATTTATTTTTTATACAGCAGATTCTTATTAGTTATCCATTTTATACACATCAGTGTATACATTTCAATCCCAATCTCCCAATTCATCCCCCCCACACTTTCCCGCCTTGGTGTCCATACATTTGTTCTCTACATCTGGGTCTCTCTTTCTGCCCTGCAAACTGGTTCATCTGTACCATGCAATTAAAAAAAACTGCATTTCAATGAAGATGTTCTGGCTGACCCCACTTCAAAGGAAGTTTAAAAAACATGTATTTATCAAATTGTTGGACAAGGTTCACAAATCTTACTCTTTAAATTTATTTAACCTTTTAAAAGGCGAGGTTCTACAACATGGACTTACCTCCTCAGCTAGGAGGAAACTACTTCTCCAAGTCTTTGGTTTCTTTATATTGTCACACTTATTGTCAGTAATTTATTTCCCTTCCTACAGGAAGATATAAATGCAAGTGTGCCAAGAAGAGAAAGACTGACCAAGCTCACCTGTAGGTCGGATATGAAGTACACAACTGTGGAGAAAAGAGAGAGATCCAGCAGACAGTGACCCTGATGAACCAAAGAATTTTGTACATTTTCCAATGCTCAATTAGGCGTGAGATTTTCCCTTTTACAAATGAAGCCATGGTCTGTAAGAGTCTATATAGAAGCCTGAAGCACAGGTCAGCCTTCAATCTTCAACAGAACTCCAGCTTATAGGCACTGAGTGAGCGTGCCATTCCACTGCAAGCTCTTTTCAAATCATATTAGATCTCATTATGCTTCATGAGAATCACATCTCAAGTATGCCTATTTATATTTTAATCTCATTACTATGAAATCTAGGAAAGCCCACATATTGATAAAATGTCAACACAATTCCTTGCTACCAAGACAATATTTAAGTAGATTCCAAACCCAATGGTACACTGACAACAAAGACAAAACATGGAACATCGAATTCATTCATTAAAATTACTAAGTCACTGATTTCATCAGATAAGATTTTTCTTATTCATTGTATCGCATCAGGGGAAAAGGAATTTTTTCCCTTTTGTTTGTTTGTTTCTTTTCTTATGACTGGGATTCACTGTCTCTGAGTGTCTTTAAGAGGCTAAGGTGAGAAAAACTAGAGGAAGGCCCTAGCCTGGGAGTTAGGACTACCAATTCTAGAACCAGGGCTGCCTTCTGTGGGCTTCACAGCAAGTCACAGCTCCTGTTTTCTAATCTGAGTAACACGAAGAGTACATTATGATTTCCAAAGTCATCTTCAGCTCTGTAGTTGAGATTCTGAGAAATCAAATCTTTTCACTTTACATCACAACTTTTTTTTTTTTTTGCTCTGCTGTGTGGCATGCGGGATCTTAGTTCCCTGACCAGGGATTGAACCCAGGCCCCCTGCAGTGGAAGCACGGAGTCCTAACCACTGGACCACCAGGGAATTCCCTATATCACAACATTTTAAAAAGACAGAATTATTGTGAGTGGGAAACAAAAACAACCGTATTCTAGAATGGAAGTGCTAACCTGACTCTATCTCCTGGCATCTCTTTGATTTGAACATCCCATTAACCACAATGTTTACCTAAACTTCTACGTTATAAACAACAAGGTCCTACTGCACAGCACAGGGAACTATATTCAATATCCTGTCATAAACCATAATGGAAAAGAATATAAAAAAGAATATGTATATATATGTATAACTGAATCACTTTGCTGTATGGCAGAAATTAACAAAACACTGCAAATCAACTAAACTTCAATTTAAAAAAAAACCCTTTATGTTGAACTTAGAAGTTCCCAGGAGCTTTTATTTGGCTCTTAATTACTGATAGGTTTTAGTGTATAATATTTTGGCGAAGGAGAATGTGAAAAGACTAGTTGGCTTTCACCTGGTTTTCAGCTCTCCAAGGCAAGGGAACTAACTGTTCTTACCATTTCTGCTTCTTAGCACCTTAAACTAGTAGATGCTCACGGGGGTACACTTTTAAATAGATTAACTTCCGGTTTCATCCGGTGGGTAAATTGAAAGAACCTAGATCATAATAGCCCATGCATTACAGGTTCTGTCGACTATTTTTACTGTCGTACAATTTTCTTATCCTTCGCAAATGTTTTTTCCTAACGAAAAACATCATCTTCTTTCCTCATAACTGTCTACATAAATTGATTCCCAAGAAGAGGTTATCATTTCTAAAGAAAACATAGCTACCATATTATGAGTTAAATCTAAGCAATGACTCAATTTCAAAGAAGAAGTAGATAAACTTATTAGAAGGTACTTAAAAAAAAAAAGATGCATGAGACTTATCTCTCACAAGATGGATACATGAACTGGATACAAAATAGCCAAAAAAAGAGCTCATAATACCTGGGGAGATCCTGGTTGATTTCACAATATTTAAAAGTCAATGGGAGGGAATTCCCTGGCGATCCAGTGGTTAGGACTTGGTGCTTTCACTGCTGAGGGCTCGGGTTCCATCCCTGGTCAAGGCCCCATAAGCCGTGGGGCATGGCAAAAAATTAAAAAAAAAAAAAAAAAAAAGTTAATGGGCATATAGTAGTTTTTCTTTTAGAGTTCATCTTGTGGAAATATTATACTAGAAAGAATGAAAATATTAATGTTTTCCTTTCAGAAAAGTTTAATATATATTAAATAATTATATTTTAAATAAAAATATATATTACTTAATATATATTTAATTTTGGTTTAAGTTTTTCTTCAATTTATTCAACACTGGAAAAAAAGAAAGAAAAGAGAAAAAGAAATATTCAGGTAATTTGCATTGTTTGACTTTAAAAGACAGTTTTAAGTTAGGGATAGAATATTCTTTAATTGGAAGGTAGAGCATGAAAGCCAAGCCAGATAATAAAACATCATGACTTTTGACCACTTAGAAAATTATAGCAAATAAATATGATCTAAAAGGAAATTCAAAAATTCCCAAATGTTGAAAATACATACATTTCCTGACTTAGGGTCCGTCCTGCAATAAGTTAGTACACCCAGATAAAAGAGTGACAAAATGCTGAATTTAGAACTGCAAAGTAAATTTATTAAGTGGCTGCCAGTTAAACTGCCAAATAATGAGTTTAATAAACTGCTTACAGAATCACAAGTTTCAACTGAATTTACACTGAGGCTTACCAGTGGTGGATATATACAAATAGAAGAGTTGATCATCTCAGAGTATTTGAGGGCAAGGAAAATATAGAAAACTCTTTTTTTTTTCAATAAAGTTTATGTCCTTAGAAATAAATTCTACCATAATAAGAACATCTAGACCACAGAAATACATTACCAAAAATGTATAGACAGCACAGTCTGAATTTCTGCATTATTCTTTCTTTGTAGTGGCAGCCATATTGGTTTATTAGTCTAAACTCACACGTCCCTGCACAGGCACACCAGGGAACCCCAGACACTTGCCATACAAAGAAAACCTCGGAGTGAGCAGAGAATCAGCAGAGCCACTTGACCTGAAGCAAAGCATTCTTAGTTTTGATGCTTCTCTATAAAAGGGACCTCAAAGTCCAAAGAGACCACAAAGAGTTAAGAAGATGTCTGCTTCTACCTTAGCAGGTTCAACGATACACTCTGAAACACAAGTAGGAAACACTTCTATTTTAGGGGAAAATGCCAACTGGAAGCCAGGGTAAAAAAATTTCACCCAGAAGAAAGTCCAATTAAAACTATCTCTGTTTGCCCCATCTTTCCCTAATTCACAGAAAAAGAATGTGTGTGACTTTTCTTTCAAATCAAACTGAAAAATGTTTAAATGGACAATTTAAAAATGGAAAATCTTATCATGACCTTTTCTAATTCAAGAATAATGACACACAAATATGCATAACAAAAACTCAACTGGTGGTTGAAGACAGTCCGAGCTACAGGCCAGGACGTGGTCACAAATGGTAGAGTGCAGTGGCTGCCTGAGGTCACAGTCATCAAGCTCACAAGGGATACGTCCTGCCTTCCAAAGCAACAGCTCTGTGTCCGGGAGGAATGGCACATCAGGAACTGGGGTCTGTGTATCACTTTCGGGATGAGAACAATGTGCACATAGATTTGGGTCCCTTGATTCTGACAGTCAAAGGGAATTGGGTATTTCTTCCCCAAAGTTAAGGAAAAATCACTTGAGAAAAATGATTTTCTACGAATTACTCTCTATGTCAGGTTTCTTTCTGTGCAAAAAATTCCATGTATATTGAAGAGCAATTAACCATTTACCAATAGATTAGTTGGAAGCCAATAGACCATTACAAAAAAATCCCACACTACATTATTAAAATTGTAAGACTATTTTTAAGTTCTTAAAAATGGTACTGCACTCAGTGACTAGAGTTTTCATTTTGCGGTACCCCATGCTATACGGAAGCAGGGAAATCAACGTTGCTGGAGGGAGCCATTCTCCCAATTTGCTATTGTTAAAAATGGTCAAGAGTTGCCACATGTTGGGGGCTAATCCTTTACATTAACGTGCTGCTCAGAGCAACAGTTAAAATTTTGAACAGGTAAACCCGGCTGCTACTCTGTACTCCCCTGTCCCCAAGGCAGGCGCTGTTCCCTCCTGTCCTCGCCTCAGCTGAGCAGCGGTCACGGGGCAGGCATGTCTCCACCACCCCAGCCCAGGTGGCAGCAGCCTCGCCCCACAACCAAAGCCTCACAGCGTGCAGTCGAAGGCCCGGGGCTTGCTCAGTGCTGCAGTCAGAGGTTCAGGGCGCCTTGTCTGGGTGATTTTCTGTTTGGGATTTTTTGTTTCCTCTTCCTCTTCAGTTTCACTCTCACAGACATGAACCACCACGCTCGGTGTCGACTCGGTTCCCGCGTGAAGTTCGTATTTCTCTCCTGTGGAGGTAAACAGCAAAGGAAGGGTTCTGTCCCTTGGAACTTCTTGCTCTACTCATAGTTTCATTGCTCATTATTGGTTTTTCCATCCTTAAATCCTATTTCAGAGAACTTCATCTTGTCTTGGCATTAGAGAACTGATGCTTTAAGGTTCTTAAAGAGTTTTGGCATTTTAAGACATTAGCTAGTACGGAGTACTGAGGTCTTGGGGGTTAAAATGTAAGTGCTAATTACTGTTCTATGAATAACACAAGTACGTCTGCTTAATTTCATAACGGTTTCTGGTTTTCCCTTGGTAGACACCTGTAAGGTTCCGGGCAGCATCGGCAATCTCGTTACTATAGGACCTCAGAGATCCAAGATACAGCTCTGATGTCTAAAAACAACAACTAGCCACTTCCCCTCAAAATGCCTTTTGTATCCCCTATAATAGACATAACATTACTTTAGGCGGACAACTTGTATGAACAACAATGGCGCCGATTTCTTAGATTGTCTTAAAGGGATGAGAGAGAGAGAGAAATCAAAGAGAAGGAAAAGAAGAAATGAAAAATAAATACAGGAGAAGAGTCTGGAAGGGATGATATGGTATCACCACCAGTTCCCTGATGTACTAGTCAACGTGACGTCTGTCTATTTTGATGGCAACTAATATTCACTAACGACCTGTTATATACTGGAATTTATAGCGGTAAAAACCGCAGTTAGATTAATTATTACATACATATCATGTAATCCTTATAACCACGTTGAAAGGTAGCTATTATGATCCCTATTTTGGATTTTAGAGGAGAAAACAGAGGCTCAGAAAATTGAAGCTAAGTAACTTGCTCAAGTTCACAAAGTTAGCAAATGCTAGAATTTGAACCCAGGTTTTATCCTCCATGCTGATCATGCTCTTACTACTTGGCTAGAACACAAATTGCTGAATACAGTCTTTAATACCAAAGTTTCTTGGGGAAAAAAACAGGAGAGACAGAAGTTTGTTACCTGGTCCCAATTTGGAAACAGCACAGAGTAAATCATAATTTATAACAGGCATCGCGTCTTCCCCCTGCTTCCACCCCACTGGAGGCGACGCAGGAGGGGAGATGAGGAACTGTTTGACCGGCTGGGGGGGCAGTAAATACGATTTGTCCTGTGTTTCGCTGGACATCTGTACCTGCAGGGAGGGAGATGTTCAAAATTTGACTGGACTATATTTTTCTCTTTCATCTTTACATTAACTGTAACATCTCTTGGGAGAACATCTCTTGGGAGAAAATTTTTAAAAATTAAAAATTTCTCTTTAACAGTGCATCTCCCAGTGGCTGGGTCAGGGTCTGTGCCTGTCTGGTTCACCACTGAACACTCAGTGCACAGCACAGAGCATTATGTGCTCAATAAAGATTAGTTGAATAGAAAAATAAATTGGTGGAGAGATGAATGAACAATGAATGGTACTAAGCACTGAATCCCAGTTTTAGAAGAGATTAGGTTATACCATCTCCATCAATTCCACCAAGAAAAGTCCAAACATGGGTTTCATTTGGAGTATGAGATGACAAACCCCTTAATTTTTTTTTTTTATTTTGAAAGCTAAGACCAAGGGAAAAAATTCTGTGTTGAAAATAAAACAGTGCCCTTAACACATCATCTAATGCCTTTATTTCACTAATTCTTCCGAGAAGAAATTGGCTTCTCAGAGTCCTATCAATGTAGGATTAGAATAATAAGCATAGCCAGTTCTTGGCAACTCACAGGATCCTTTTCAATTCCAAAGTCTAAAACAGTCTTTCTGTATGTGCCGTGCCTCCTCCCTGCTCACCCCTTCGGCTGGGAGGCATTTTCAAAGGGGTGCCTCATATGAATCACAGCACATGGAAATGATTCCAGAGACTACTTTCTCACTTCTTCCAAGGATATCCCAGCACGAGTGCCATTCTAGATGCACAGGAGAAAAGTTAATTCACTGGCCTTAAGGTGTTAGGGCTTACTTAACCTTCTCAACCCCAGTTGAGAAAAGCTGCCAGAAAAATGAATTCCTTAAACTGAATAAAAAAGAGGTTGAAACTCTTTTCATGTTTAAGCAAAACAAAGCTAGGACGGCAAATATGCTTAATAAATAAATGTATATATCTGTAAAATAAAGGAAAAAATATTTTTCTCCCTGGGGATTGTTCATATCAAAGACCTCTGGCATAATAATAGAGAAAGTGGAGAACTGACAGTATTTCTGGATGGAGGAAAACAAGTTTAGAGAACACTGCCCTCTGCACCATGAAGTACCTGTGCGAAATACAGCTTCAGCTTCTTCCCATTGAAGTCTGTCTCGTGGAGTTCTATTCGAGCCCGTGCTGCTGCTTCAGGTTTGCTGAAATTTATTCGGACTCTTCTAAAGCTTTTAAACAGCTGAAACGTAACTTGGTCATCATAGATGGTGAAAAGCGCTTCAAATCTCTCCTACAAATTGAGGGGCAGCCAGGCAGAGAGAATGGGGGCGGGGGGAGAAACGACAAACCTTTACCAAGAGGAAATTTAAGTCATTAAACATAATTAATGGGATAGAACTCATTATAATTTGCCTTTTTCCTCAAAAAAGCATTTTTTTCTTGTAGGTATACAAGAACAGGTATCCTGTTAGTCATATGCTAAAATTCTGCAGTTTGCCCTTATTCTAAAAATAACCTTATTAAATATAGTGTAGATTCATATTATAAAATCATATGTAAAGTATTATAAAATAAACGTAAGGTATAAAAATCATAAAAACGTTCCCAATTATAGAACAAAAACATTACTACCATTTTGAAGTCCACAGTGTGTCAGAGTTTCTACCCCCATCCTACTCCTTTCCTGCTTCAAAGTAACCATTTTCTGGAATTTTGTGCTTATCTTTCCCTTGCTTTTCTTTATAGTTTTACAACATTTATATGGATCCCTAAATATTGAATCATTTTGCACATATTCCTCTGTAACTTGCTCTTTTTTTTTTTTTTTGCGGTACGTGGGCCTCTCACTGTTGTGGCCTCTCCCGTTGCGGAGCACAGGTTCTGGACGCGCAGGCTCAGCGGTGATGGCTCATGGGCCTAGCCGCTCCACGGCACGTGGGATCTTCCCAGACCGGGGCACGAACCCGTGTCCCCTGCATCGGCAGGCGGACTCTCAACCACTGCGCCACCAGGGGAGCCCTGTAACTTGCTTTTTGTTCCTAAGATTCTTCCTTGTTGCTGCGTGTAACTATGAGCTATCCTTTTAATGACTGTATAGTATTCCATTGTAGAGCCATACCACAATTCCTCTAGTGCTGCTGGAATCTGAACTGCCTCCAGATTTTGCTACTACAGTGCTGCTATGAACATTCTTGGTACTATATGCATGAGTTTCTCTGAAGTGCAATCCCTGGGCCTTAGCACTGGCACATCTTTAACTTTAGTAGATGTTGCCAAATAGTTTTCCAAAGAGCTTATATCAGTTTACTCTCTAAGAGTGAATGTGTGTTCTGGTTGCATCATATCTATGCCAACATTTTATAAAGACCTTTAAATTTTTATCAATGTGAAGTAGGGAATATGAAATGGGCTCTAATTTTGGTTATAATTCACGTTTCTCTGAATAATAAAGAGGTTGAACCTCGTTTCATGTTTATTGGCCATTTGGGGCTCCTCTTAATGTGATGTATCTGTTCATGTCTTTTGTCCATTCTTCTATTGGGTTGTCCTTTTTTATTGAGTCATGGGAGTTCTATAGAGATACTAATTCTTTGTCAATTATAGGTACCATAAATATTAAAATTTGAACATTACTAAATGTATCCACTTTTTCCTTTTGTGTTGTGTCTTGAGAAATCCTTCTGCACTCTGAGATCACAGTGATGTTCTCCCGGATTGTCTTCTCAAAGTTTTATGGTTTTACCTTTCATGTTTAAGTCCTTACTTAACATAAAGCAGATGTGTATGAGGTGCCCCCCCTCACCCCAGTAACCACCATCTCTTTTTCTATCACTCTAGATTCGATTGTATTTTTTAGCATTTTGTATAAATGTACTTTTGGTGTGTGTGTGGGGAGGTCCAGGTTTTTTCCTTGAGCATAATCATTTTGAGATTCATATTACTGGGTTCTCTTTTGTGGTCCTTCTTATTGTCAAGTAGAATTCCACTGTAAGGATGTTTACCCATGTACCTGCTGATGGACATTTGGGCTGTTTCTAGTTTTGAACTATTAGGTATTAGGCTGCTATGAACATTCATGTACACATTTTGGGTAGATATATGATTTTATTTCTTTTGGGTAAATACCTAAGAGTAGAATGGCTGAATTGTATGACAAGTATATGATCAACTTTTCAGAAACTGATTTTCAAAGTGATTGTACCATTTTACATTTACACCAACAGTGTATAAGAGTTCTAGCTGCTCCACATTCTCACCAACGTTTGGTACGGTCAGTCTTCTTAACTTCAGCCATTGTACTGGGATACAGTATTATCTCACTGTAGTTTTAATTCACACTTCCCTAATGACTACTGATACTGAGTATCTTTTCCTAAGTTTATTTGCCATCTCTATAATTTCTTGGGTCAAGTGTGTATTCAAATCTTTTCCCACTTTTAACTTGGGCTATCTTTCTTATTAAGTTGTAAGAGTTCTTTTATGTATTCTATATAGAAGCCCTTTGTCAAGTCTATGTCTTTCAAATATTGTCCTTGCTTTCCTTTTTCATTTTGAAAGAGTATCTTTTGAAAAGCAAGGTTTTTGTTTTGTTTTGTTTTTGGATGAAGTGTTGACTCCATGTGTTGACTTAAAAAAAACCTTTGTGCTTTTTCAGGGAGATCAGCTCAGTGCTTTGTGACCAACTAGAGGGATGGGATAGGGAGGATGGGAGGGAGGGAGACGCAAGAGGGAAGAGATATGGGGATATATGTATATGTATAGCTGATTCACTTTGTTATGAAGCAGAAACTAACACACGATGGTAAAGCAATTATACTCCAATACAGATGTTAAAAAAAAAGAACTGTATCAAGTATAAACGCACATAAGTATAAAAAATAAAGACAATAAATAACTTAAAAAACCCCACAAAAAACCTTTGTGCTTTTTGTGTCATATTTAGGAAATCTCAGCCATACCCAAGGTCACTAAGATTTTTTCCTATGCTTTCTTGTAGACGTTTTATAGCTTAGTTCTTACGTTTAGGTCTATGATCCACTTCAAGTTAATTTTTGTATGTGAGACAAGGGTCAAAGTTCATTTTTTACCCCATATGGCTATCCCTTTGTTCCAGCACCCATTGTTGAAATGATTATCCTTTCCCCTGTGCACTGAAAACTATAAGACATAGTTGAAAGAAATTAAAGACCCATATAAGTGGAGAGATATAATTCTTTCTCCTTGGGGAATCACCTTTCTGACACTATTGGCTCTCTCCATGTATGTTTATTCACTTTTCGTTAATTCCTGCTCTTTATTCTTTTCTTTGAGGTTTTCTCCTATCACCTTAAGATGGATGCTTACTCCATTAGTTTTTCAACTTTTCTCATTTTTAATATAAGCATTTTAAAAATATACATTTCTAAGTATTATTTTAGCTGTCCCACAAGTTTTAATATATATTATTTTCACTACCATTTGATTCTAAATACTTTAGTCTAATTTCCATTATGTTTCTTCCTTGTCTCATGAATTGTTTAGAGGTTTATTAAATTTCAAATAAGTTTCAGGGAAGTTCAGGTTCAGCTTGAACTTCACATCCAGCCTCAGGCTTCTATTGGAGTAGAGAGAACTGCATGTGCCAGCCTGTAGATGGTCCGATGGCCCAGTCAGGGACAATGTCGTCCACATGGTGGTATCTTTCCTGTGACTTCAGTGACCGAGCACTGGCTTTGATGAACAAGTACAAAACCCACCTCTGCATTTGCGAGGGGGACATGAGTACACACCATCCATTCCTGAGGCTCTCTGCTCATTGGCCTTTATTTAGCATGGGTAAAACACTCCTTCTTGCATCCAGTAACAGAGACTCTTCACTTCTTCAAACATGAGACCACAAAAGGAAGACCTAAGGAGGAACTCACAGCCTGGACAGATCACTTCAGCAAGGTCTTATGGCTTCTACCAGCCACTTATCTTCTGAGCACAGAGCTCTGGCGCTTGGCTGTCCGCGTTTAACTCCTGGCTCCATTATACATCTGTGTGACCTTGGGCGAGTTACTCACTTCTGCTGTGCCTACAGTTTCCTTATCCATTAACTGAGGATAGTAAAAGTACTCACTTCATTGGGTTACTGGTGATAGAAAGAGAGACCATTTAAAGGTCTTAGAACAATACATCATAGGGAGTATTATCACTATTAGTAACAGGAACAGGTAGAGCTGTTGCAATAATCCATTTGCCATTCTGTGGTCACAAAAATAGCTGTTCTACTGTGTGATGTGGATGCCCAGGAAGGAGGTAAACACACAGCGATGACAGTGTGAGCTAGATAGCAAGTACCACGGAGGTCGCCAGTGCAAAATTAAAACCTGCCCTTCCTGACAGTCCTTTAGTGTAATTCAGATGTGTCGAGCTGATGGAGCAGTCACCTAGGAGACATGCCCTCCCAGGAGACTCGGTTGCAGTGGGTGATACAGTGAACCACTGCTTAATAGAATCAGTGTCCATCTTCCCAGGGTTCTTCTGAACTTGACCTGTGACCCTGACCCCTTGAAGCAGAGGACACTGCTCCTCTGTTATGACACTGAGGACTCTGCATTACTCTGCTATGAACTTTGACTTGAACTGAGGGAGAGGATAGCAGGGTTTTTGTTTTTTTTTTTATTGTAGCGATAAATTGAATTGTACATACTGAAAAAATACACTATTTCCATGCCAGTGGCTTTTAATCTTCCGTATTAATTTTGTCTTTTTGTTTTGTTTTCTATTTCATAAAGTCAACTGTTTGGTGATGGCCTTGGAGTTGCTTACTATGTATGTATTCATGGCGCCAAGCTTGCACAGAATGAAAAGCCACTTAAAACATGGAAACGGCTGATATGAAGCTATCACAGCATGCATGAAAATGTGGAGGAGCAAGACACGATTCCTCTTCGTCAAGGCCAGTTACGTACAAAGACCAAGAAACATTTCATTCTCGGGCTTGTCCATGTGCTTAAGGATTGGCAGTAACTTGAGCTCTGTTCCATTTCTTTGGTCTCCATCTAGATCTTTGTGTGTATGTGTCTTGATAAATTCTTTCTCACTGTTCATCCACTCACTCATTCAATAAGGCCAGGTACTACCTTAGATATTGAGGCTAAAACAAGGAACAATATTGATTGTGTGATTTATTCCAGGGTAGACGTTCATTTCCTTTCTGGTGGTGTTTTCTTCATGGACATTAGAGAATGAAGGTGATTTTTCAAGTTAGGGACCCATCTTTCCAAAGACATGTAAACTTGAAAGAATGTCAGAAACAAGTCTGAG